TTCCTGTTTTACTATCTTTATGTTTTGATCTCTCTCAGTCCCAGTTCTTTCAGGAGCCCTGGAGGAACAAGACATTTTCCACGTAGCCATATATGATTTAAGCACACGTTTTTACAGTCCTCATGCTGGCTTCTGTTTTATAGGACTTATAGCTCTTCATTCATACCAGTCATCCCTTCTCGCTTGTTTCAAACGGGGAGTTTCTTGTTGCTGTCCTTCTTCAGCTTCTTCGGAAAAACTGTATTCTGTTATTATTGCCGTCGGTATTATTGTCCTGAGAGTGATTTTTCATGAGGATTTTGAACACCTTATCCGCGTCTGTTAACTGATTCGGAACACTATCTTATTGCAATTAAACGATTGTTGTTCGTGAAATGTTTTTCAATACGACGCAAGACTTCCTGTTCCCTGGGAATGATTTCTTGCAGGTATCACAAGTCAGGGGCACTAACGAAGGTTTCCTCCTAAACGCATTGAAAAAACTTTTTAGGCTACCCAGAGTACTTATAGATCTCTGAATCTCTAGAAATGGATTCTAGGCGGCGCTATAGTATTCGTATCTGTTTGGTCATCCTTGGGGAACTCGAGTCTTTCGAAATTACAAGGGCCTCAGTATTATTTTCCCGAAAATTTATGATGCAGTTTTAAGGTTTACGAAAGTGAGAATTTTTCTGATTCCTCGCCATCGCATTTTCGAATCCAAAAATTTTAGGTTTCCTTTTTGTACGAAAAATAGCCTTACCTGGGGACTGAAACGCAAGAAACTGAACTTAAGAAAATCGCAGGGAATTTATTAGAATTTATTGGGAATTTATTACTTTATTGTACATGAATGGAACTGTCATCTAGAAGTTTTTAGTCTTCCTCAAGCTATAGACTATTTTTGCGCAGGGCGCAGAGGATTTATTTGCGACCTTGGTTGTTGATTCTAGTTAAATTTTATGGTTGATACTACGCATTGCCTTTGTTTTTATACTGTAAACTAATCGAGCAAACCGTCCTTCGATCAATTTATAAACCTGGTATATACTGTATTATCTGATGACTGCGGACGAATAACAGCGGATAACATATAATAAAGACAAGGGATGAAACTAATTTGGGCGAATTTCAGCGCGCCATAATCAGGGGCACCCAACGAGGATATAGTTCAAAACCACTTAACATAGCATTGTTGAACGTATTTTAGTATTTAAACGGTAGATATAGGCATATTTTTATCCCCTAAAAACTTTTCATCTGTTCGGATTTCCTAGCTGAAAGTCTAGTGATCCGAAAATGATAGGGATCAAAACTTACCTTTTCGAAAATTTCAGCCAGGAAAAGGCTCCCGAAAATTCTAGGTGGCCTTTTTTAGGGTAAATATCCGTTTAAAATGGGTAATTATACCATTTTGTAGATGTTCGAAAATCCTAGGAGAGGCAGGCAAGCAAGAAATTTCACAACAAATGTTCCGAAAATTCTAGTTCTCAAATCGTCTTCCGAACAGATATTTTCCCGAAAATTGCCGTTGGGTGCCCCTGCATAATTCGTCAGTCCGTGTATAAATCGGCGCCATTTTCATCAGAATAAATATTGTGATACACGCTTCTTTGTTTCCTTTGTTGTCAAGTCAACTTATAAGACCTTGACCAGTGCCACTGCTCCCACGTTCACTATATGAATCTCACGCTCCAAAGAATGATGACACGTTGTTCTGCACGGGTACCTCAAAATACTTGGTGAGTAGGTTAAGCAAGGGGACCAGCGATGTCGGTGTTCTTGGCAAGCTTCACGTGGTCGCACTCGTACTGGGGGGCCAAATCGCTGTTCACGTGAACTGACCTCGCGACCTTGCACGCCTCGTGGGTACACAACCACATGTCGCCACTACTTGTTACAAAACATCGATCGTCTCTTCCCGTCGTTCGACACGAAAAGACGCCTTGAGTTATTTCGAGAACTGCTGGGCTGGCTGACTTTGTTTTCTTTCGCGCACCCTGAAACGTTCCACCCAGATGATGGCCACAATTTCCACAATTAGGGGGCTTACTACGATTAAAATATTCAACGTGGCACCTTGGACACGAACCACGACCACGGCTACTCATTACAAACACCAACCGGGAACAAACCAAACAACCAGGAAACCGTACAACAAACGATTCACACGCCTCAAAAAGATGAAACTAAAACTAACCAGAAAACCGAACAACAACAAACGACTCACACACGTCCAGCTCAAACAGATCAAAACCCAAAGTAAAAGCCTACTAATAACCACAAAACCGAACAAAAACGTGTGCTTAAATCATATATGGCTACTGTTATGGCTGTACAAATGATTAATATTCCTGAACTTGGTCTTTCTCTGGTTTTCCTTTTTTCTTTCTCAAAATTAATGGAATCAGGCTTGTAATATTGTGAAACACATTTTATTTTGCCCATGTCAAAACAGGATATTCTAGAAAATGGGTCATCCGTAGGAGTTCAAGACATCCTATCCAGTGACTTCTTTAAGTCGATGGAGGTTTGTTTTCAGATATTTCTGTTAATCCTGGGCAGAGCTTGCCTTAATAAATTGTTAATAAATAGGCCAGACAGTCATTTTTCCAGCTAGACAGTTGAGATTCACTCAGATACCTAAGGTCATGTTTTAAACCAGTCGGTGACTCAATCAGCCACACAGTTTGTTATCACCAAAATCTTGCCAGTAGGATCATATAAAGTTTCAACATCTGGCCAGTAAGATCTTGAACATTCAACTTCTTGCCAGCAACAGCGTCGGATTGCAACGTCAGCATCTTGTCAGCAAGATCTTGAAGTTACAACATCTTGCCATTAAAGTTTATCATCCCGTTATTAAATGAACCTATGTTAATTGCTGATCACTGGTTGTTTATTAAGTGGGCCTGTACTGTGTTGATAATTCACTTTACCATAAGGCAGTAAACTTTTGAGTGGCAAAATATTATTATTATATCATTGAACAAAGAGCTTGTTAATTTGTGGATTCTAAAAAATATTCTGCTTTTAGATATTCTCATCTATATATGGATGTGGACCTGCTACAGCTCGAAACTCAGTGGTATGAAAAGGGTCATCGAAACATGTTTGACATCATTCAAGCTGTGAAAAATGGAATGAAACTCACAGAACAGCAGACAATGGGTAAATTATAGCTAATTATTTTTGTTATTCTAAATAACGATACTGTGGTTCAGTTTCATTACAGTCATGGAAGTGTAAGTTTGATTCTTTTTTGAGATGTCATTTTCTAATCTGCAGTTATCTGCCAAAAGTTTTGGTTACCAGTCTTAAAAAAATATTTTATTGCAAAAGAAACACATCTTATACAGTATACTTGCATCAAGAATTAAACCATTGACCTCAACAAGAGGCTTATCATCATCATGATCATGATAAACCTTGAAGTTGTCAAAACACTTACTTTTAAAATGAGGCCAAGTGGAAAAACTTGTCTAGTGAAAATGAGTGTTATTTGAATAATATTATTGTTTCGTATTAGAGATTATGCATTTGCCCTCATTTTGGAAAAGAGGCTTAAATCATGTATAGCCCAACTTGAAAGTGGCCTTAATAATTAATTATTAATTTGAGTGAATTATTTTGTTTTACCGTAAATCCTCTATTAAGCCCCCTGGAGGGCTTATTTATTTTAAAACACATTTGAGGGGGGCAGGTGGGGGGGGCTTATTTGATTTAGCAATCACGATGGTGTCAGTTCTTCATAAAGAACTAGAATACAAAGTAGAAAACCTTAGTAACAAGAAGTTGGAGGTCATGCTGCTGAGGATCAAAAACAATCCAAACTTCCAGTTGTGATTTATTATAAAATACAGTCTAATCACTAATAAATTTTATTAGTGAAGAATAATAATGGGGAGAGGAGGGGGACTTAAAAGAGCGGAGGGGCTTATTAACTTTCTTCCCTGGAAAAACGGTGGGGGGTTGGGGCTAATACTCTTGCAGGATTGAGTTTGTTGCTGCAGCTTTTTTGTTACTCTAAATTTCCCAGCTTGGGGTTTCAACTGTGGCAACATGCTCTTGCTTTCGGTTTTGATGCTTGATTAAAGTACAGATTAATATTATCTTATAGGTTTGAAGTATTATGATGATTTAATTCAACCTGTTCCAAGAGAAGAAGCTATTGGTATTAAAAACATTGTGGCAAGAGAGGTCAGTTAAACATCGTCTTCAAAATATGATTTCATGACACATATTTGGGACAGGGAACGGTCCCTCGAAAAACATGGCTCTCGGAATATTAGCCCAATCTTAAAATCTTTGAAGCATTTGTCGACAGGTCTCAAAGTCTCATTCTTGGGTGATTTTACTTCTCGGAGTCTCGAATTTTAAAGTCTTGGCCATGAATGTTGAAACCGCATACTGCATGGGGTCTCGCATTCTTGCAAAGTGACTCTCAGATTCACAATTCTATACCCCGTATATTTGATTGTCATTATGTCATCACATCACCCATGACAGAGAGTAATATTTTTTTTATTAGACTAAAAGGCAAATCAATAATTTTTTCAAGTATTTATATATTATTTTAGAATTTTTCATTTCATAGTTAAACAGTATCCAGCCAAACTGCACAGTGGAACTAGTTGGAGGGTACCGCAGGTGACCATACAATGTACACATTTCTCTTACTTAATTCTTTGGTAAAAAGTATAATATTTGACTTCTACAGCAAAAAGTCAACAAATACATTACAATTTTGAACTTTTTGATGTCATTTCTATGGCCTGTAAGAGTTTAGACAATGGAAAATTGTCTTTTTTCATTTTACAATATTATAACATTAAAAGTTTATTCTTCAAAAATCACGTGCAAGAGACAAGAAAAAAATTGCGTAATTTTTTTTAAAATTTATTTCCATGGACAATTAGATGATAACTCTCAACCAGTGAGTATGTGGCATGTTGCCCAGTTGTTTTAAAATAAATAATCTTTAAGCTCAATAGTTTTTTTCTGTCCCAATCTTTTCTAGAGGTAAACCATCAGGACATGATGTGGACATTTTGATTACCCATAAAGATGTCTACCGCGTTGAAGGATTGCTAGTAAAGCTTGTTGAAAGGCTTGATAAGCTGGTAAGGAAATAAAGAAACAATAAATCAAAGCCAAATTAGAGGGATCATTCAAAGGTTTTTTAAGCTAAAACACTTTTTGAGCATTTGTTTGTTAACAAAATAAATGTTTTTTTCCTTTTTAGGGTCACATGGTTCACAAGGACTTAATGGCTGGTCGGAATTCAGCTCTTGGTGGAAGCCAAAAGTATGTTGCAACAAATAAAGACTTCAATTTGAAAGCCTTGAAAAGATATCCTCCCACCTAATGGGATAGTGATATCAACATGGCATAAATACATTATCAAGCAAGTTTGAAATGGATTTCAATATTGTTTGGTAATGTAACCACTGTGCTTCAACAGTTACTAACTGTATTACTAACAATTACTAACAACTTTTTGGTGCTCTACTGATCAGCATATTTGTTTTTCCTTACTTTGTTTTTAGGATTGTAAAAGAGAGATATTCAAAAGTGACCAATGTTAAAAAACCCAGAGACCCATGTACATCGAGACAAAACAATATAAACTCTGTAAGGGGAAGTTGGGGGTGGGGGCGGTGAGGTTCTTAATGACCAAAAATTTATTAAAGAAAAATACCATCAAGGCCTCAATTGATAGCAGTGCTAAAGGCGTCTGAATGGGCTACCTAACCCTGATACGAATAAATATTAAGGTCTCTCTCTCTTATGAAGCATAACTTAGTTTATTTTTCTGTCAGTAAGTTAAATTATCTATTTTATTTGGGAAAAGTAATAATTTTAACTTTTTTCTGCGTTGCTATCTCCTCTGGACTAATCTATGTAAAATGTTGAAACAAAATGTGTACAATGTGTAAAATATATAATATACAAACTTAACCTTGACAATTATTGTGCCCTGAATGGCCAGGAGTGTTTAAAAGGGAGAAAATCACATTAATGGGCTTGGTCAGTGATATTTTCTCCCTTGCTTAGACACACGGTGGGCCACATGGATAATCTTGACCACTGCTTCTGTATGTTTCAACTGACAACAACGGCATTGGCATCGTCAGACAGTGATTCACTAACAGGTTCAACGAGATATGGAGGATCGTGCATTGATGACTTCCAAGAGGGAAGGGGTGGAAGAGCAGTTAGAAGAGTTGACCTGATTGTGACTCCACCCAATCAATTCCCATTTTCTTTACTAGGATGGACAGGTTCTAAGGTGTGTACACCAGCTTCTGTCAGAAATAAACTGTTATGCCACCCTTAAAGTGGTCTCCTCTTGCAAAAACTTGAGGCACCAAATTGACTTATTGTGTGCTCAATTTTTGCGTTAACATCTGTGGTTATTTTGCAACAACTTTTAGGACTTGTGTTAGTGATGTATTACGATGGATGATGTTACTGTCAATAATAATATTATGCACCTGTTTTTCTTGTCTAGCAATTTAATAAGGGACTATGCCTGGAAAATGTTGAAAATCAAGTTATCGAACCGTGGAATGTGGGATCATAACCAAGTGGTAAGTTCTTGTGTCCTTAAGAACAGGGGATCATAGATGTCACTATGTTGCACTACCAATAATCTTCAATAATTTTCTCACAGTGGCCAATGTATTTTATCAACCAAACTTGTTTTTTACTTTCCCACAATAGCATGTAGAACAGGTGCTTTTAGGAGGGGTTTTTCAGGTGAGCAAATGTAAGCGCGAAGCTAGCCTGCAAAGCAGGCGTATTTTGGGGCGAGATCCATGAATTGTTTTCAGGATAACGTTGTCCCGCCATCTTGGACGTTAATACTACCACCTCCGAGTTTTCGTTAAAAAACGTAAAAAACGCCTGCTCTGCAGGCTACGAAAATCTGTGTTGGGTTCTTTTACCAGGGAATTCTAAAATATTCAATGTATATCACTGCCCCTTCCCCTCCACCCAACCCCTTGGATGAGATTTGTTTCTTCGGTGTCCAGACCGGGAAATTTCCAGGCTCAAAAATAATCGGGTCCGCGGAATCGAAGAGAGCACCGCTCATATTTCAGCGTGCCTTTCGCTTACGCGTCATCCCTACTATCAGCTGTGAGCCCGAAACAGGCAACTTTGCAAAAGGATTAACGGGAGTCATAGTCTCTTGAAATAAATAAATAAAAATAGCATAGCTCCAAGCCCCAACAACAAACGCCAAAATATAAACGGTTTCAAGCCGATTTAGATGTGCAGCCTGTGAACCCTTAGTTTCTCCGATATTTTGCCAGACGTGGAAAGTGCTTTGTTGTGCAGGTGGAACTACACAAATAAGCGTGATGAAATACCAATTCAAAAAAGCAGTCTCAAAATTCAAATTACGTATTGTGTTTAGCAAAACGTTGTGCTCTGAGATCGCGTAAATCACAACTTTACCGGCAGACTTTTAAAAGCATTTACCCAAGATCAATTTTAAGGTGTCAAATCTCTGAAAAGAGGTTTTCTCATTTTATGTGTGATCTGACTCTGTCACCCTCTGCAGTCCGACCCCAAATGGGGAACAAGAGAAGACATTAGCACAGAAATATTTCCCCGGGGGCTGGAACATTAACTCGCATGCCCAGGTTGTGGGAGGGTGCGCAGATTCACGTTGGTTGATGCATAAGGGGCCCTGGTTGTTCAAACGTTGGATAGCCCTATACACCGGGTAAAAAGCCTTTGGATATTAAACGCAGTTGGTTTCCCTACGACTTATCCGCTGGATAGTGATTTATCCGGTGGATAGTGCTATTCAACGTTTTGTAGAATGTTCTTACCATGCAACTGGGAATGCCGTCATAATCATTCCCAGTCTCATCTTTAAATGGTGCGGTTTTCTACCCCACCAGAAGTGAAATTTCACGTTTTTGGTACGTAAAAACATGGGAAAGAAGTACGATGTCAAAATTGATTTTATTTTTATCGGGGGCCTGTGCAGATTTAGACTACGAGTAGTTCGCATTTTTCCTCAGGGATAGTAGAGCGAGCGAAACGCGAGCGCGCGTGAAAATCACCCCACGCGATATAAAGGCGAGATGCGGAGGGGAGAGAGAAAAAATGAACGCCGCCGCGTCTCGCCTTTCTCGCGTGGGGTGATTTCCATGCGCGCTCGCGTTTTCGATCTCTATACAATCCCTGAGGGAAAATGGGGACTCCTCGTAGTCTAGTGCAGATTCTATTCAGCAGAAAACAAATTCAAGTCAAATGCAAGTAATGCAATTAAACAATAGGAAAAGTGGGATATGAAATCACTCTGACAACAGTTGCAGTTTATAACTATAAAACAAAACCAAAAACTTAATACACAGAACTTTCCAGGTTTGTTTTAATTAAGATAAAATGTTGTATCACAACATGATTGGAAAAAAAAACTACAAGGAAAAATGCTTTATTTAACAATAAATTTTACCCCTGAAACGTTTCTATTATTTCCATTTACAAGTATTTCAGAGAAGTGAAAGACAATCTAACAAAATATAAAAAAGGTGTTTTTTAAGCAATATTTAGAATTATGTATAAAGACAATTACAATGTATAGTGGACACTCCTCTGATAAATCACTGCGTTAGGAATATGAGGCAGAAAATCACAACCTAAGTAGGATTTGTCACCTGATCACTACTGAAACTGAAGACTGAAGGGATTAGAGGTTTTTCTTTGGGAAAGAGAGAGCGAAGAAAAATTTCTAGAAAAACCTCTGGGACCAAGGTAGACTTTCACTTTAGTGAAAATTAGCTCACCCAGGGACCTGCACTTCTTTAGCAATGGAAATGAGAAATATTTACAGTTCATAATGCACATCCAAAATGAAACTCACTCTGGTTAAGTTGATTAGCAAAACAGCACCAAAATCCTTGTTGTGGGCCCCATCTGTGTACAAGGATTTGTGTATGTGCTATTGTCTATTTGCAAATTAGGACGGAAGGAAATTCGAAACAAACTTCTCCTAATTCGGTGGGTCCATTATGGTCCCAAAAGAAGGATCTCAGTGCCACTTTGCAGATGCCACTGAGGATGGTTCTGTGACAGACTATGAATTGAAGACTCGAAGTGTAGTTCAAAAACATCTCCATAATGCCCCCGCAAAAAGACATTAGAAGTTTGTGGAGGAGGAGGGGTATAAAAGACCAAATACAAAAAAAAAAAAAAGGAAAAAAAAGAAGAAAAACACACCAGAAAAAAAACAAAAGCGAAGAGGGGGTGCGCGGAGCTAAGAAAAAAAACAACACATAA